TAATTCTTTCATGCACAGTTTTTCAAATACATGCTTAATGTCAAACACTTTTTTTCTTTTTTCTGTGGGGGGCGGGGGTTGCAAATCACATCTCAAGCTTGGAAATATGCAAACACCAACCACTGACCATGTTTGAGACCATATTTGGTTTGGGAGGTGCAAACTTGAAGAATTCTGATAAAATAGGAATGAAAACAAACTTCTTCATGCATCCTTCAGAAAAGTCCTTTTGTAAGTTGAGAAGCCATATCTGCATATGGTAACTAGCTCTATGAGTCCACAGTTAACTAATAAGTAAAATTTTGCTGATGGGATCATGCTGCAAGTTGAGTTGCAAAGACAGAAAGACAGATCTTGGTGTTAAAATGTCATTACTTGCACATTACTTGCAAACCTCTTAGGTGGGAATGTTCAGATCCTAGCAGAGATCTTTAATTTCTACCTCTCCCATTCCCTGCAACCTCATTTGGAATTGTTCCAGTGCATTCCTCTTGTAGTAGAATTTGGTGATATCTATCAGTGACCCCAGATTCTTGCCTGAAACATTCTTTTACATGTTGGACAGATAAATACTGAAGTCAGTACTTTCAGATATTTTGCCACCATATGAAAACAAGTTCTACCTAGTGAAAACTGATTCCTTCTGACAGTAGCTGTCCAGATTCTCCTGGGGGTTCCCAAGGAGAGCATTAAAGTGATATCCTTCCTCTGCTCTTTGTCCCATTCTTCAGTTACGTCATCTCTGTTCCTGGAGATTCGTTTTAGTGATCATGGCTATCAGAAGCTAACTGTTCTGCTTGTATGGATTTTTCTGTTTCTTGTGGCATTTAAAAGGTGGCAGCACAATCCAATGAGGCTGCTTGGAGTCCCTGAACTTTGAGGATTTCAGGCATCTGATGGAGGGTGGAAGGAGTGCAGAAGTAAAGATCACCTCCATGCTTCTTTACCCCTGAAAACCACTTGGTGGCCAGTTTCAGCCTTCTAAGTGTTTTGCCCTGAAGTGTGAAGAGAGGAAGCTCAGGTGCTGCCAGGATGCTGCATATGCCACCTCCTTTCCTCCCCATCTCTGGAACACAGAGTTGTCTTCTGAGACCTCACTACCACAGTCAGTGTGCTTATTTTTGCATTGGGTGCAAAGGTGACAGGAGGGTGGAAAGAGGATGCTCTGAGTTCAGGGTCTCAGCTCTGACCTTGAAGCAAGCCTCCCAATAATCCTATGACCTTCTGGACTCTACCTAGTGGCCATAAGATTGCACCCCAAGTGAGTTGGTAATTATTGGCATACCCTTTGGTAATGACATTTCCTTGGCTAATGATATGTGGTGAAACTGCTGTATTTGGTTTCCTTGAATTCTGATACTTTAATTTTCTTGATAAAATTTATATTGTATAAATATTGCAATTATGTATCTATAAATTCCCTAGAGGTAGAACTTGGGTTTTCCGCTCCTTCATCATTATGGTTATTCCTGGCTACCTTTTTTCTGCTACCTTCTTTTCCTCATAACCCCAGATAAATGTCACAGGCTAAATTCTGAATAATGCCTGTCAAGGAGGGCCCTGAAGTGCCAACATTAGGTTGTCCCACCTGGCTGGCTCCATGTCTCCCTCCTGCCATGGATGGCTTAAATGTGTATTTGTTTCTGAAGCACATTTCCCCTCCTTTAAATAAGAAATGTGTAATATAATCCAAAGCATACCCACACAAAGGCATGTCCAGTTGGCATATTTAGGCCTTAGTGGAATTAGGTAGTATGGATCCCTACCAGCCCTGCTAAAGAAACTGTGTTTTGTCAGGTATGAAATATAGTCTGTTTAGCAAAGAATTGGTACCCGATCCCAAGTCACATAGTCTCATTTGCTACTAAGAATAGTCAGTGATTGGCCACCATTTGCACAGATCATTCTTCTGTTTATGAATGAGAATGAGGAAGCTCTTGCAAACATGTAGCTCTATGTGTATGTTGGAGCCACCAGTTCACAGCCTAAGTGAATACTCTCTCAGTGATAAATGGTGGCCATAAACAGCTGCCTGATGGAACCCAAATGATAAATGTGGAGGGCACGCTTCAGAAGAATTTAGGAACAGAACACTATTTTGGAAGTTCTCCAGTAGTACTCCTCCATCGTAAGGAATATGCCAACTGAAAATATTAACCAATTAAAATAACATACTTCTGCATTTGGAGAATTCTAATAAAGCATGCTACTACTATTTATACAAATGAAGCAGTTCATTTCTGATGAAACGCTTAATTAAAAGTTATTGCAGAGTCACTCCATGTTTATTGTTCTCAAAGCAGGAAATTCTTAATTGGCTAAATATGAGTGCCGTTTTTAAAAATTATTGTGTAGTAGGGAATAATGTCTCTGGACATGTGGGGCTCTAACTGTAGATGCTGAAGACTTAAAAACAAAATTCACAGCACAGTGGAAGTGCAGAGGAACATTGTGCACTCCAGAAAGAGAAAAACACATTGGACCTCAACCTTTCAGCAAAAATACAATGTTACTTGTCGGAACAGAGTGTACTGAGTTTATGTTGTTGTTGTTTTTAGTTGCAAAGTCATGTGACCCCATGGACGACATTCTTCCAGGCCTTCCTGTCCTCCACCATCCTCTGGAGTCCACTTAACCTCATGCCAACTGCTTCAGTGACTCCATCTAGCCACCTCATTGTCTTCCGGGAGTCCTGTTCTTCTTTTGCCATCAATTGTTCCCAGCGTTAGGCTCTTCTCCAGGGAGTCCTTCCTTTTCATTAGGTGGCCAAAGTATTTGAGTTTCATCTTCAGGATCTGGCCTTCTAAAGAGCAGTCAGAGTTGATCTCCTCTAGGACTGACTGGTTTGATCCCATTGCAGTCCAAGGGACTCTCAGGAGTCTCCTCCAGCACCACAATTCAAAGGCCTCAATTCTTTGGCTCTCAGCCTTCCTTATGGTCCAGCTTTCACAGACATACATTGCAACTGGGAAAACCATAGCCTTGACTATACACATTTTTTTTTCGGCAGGGCGATGTCTCTGCCCTTTAGTATGCTTTCTAGATTTGCCATAGCTTTCCTCCTCAGGAGCAAGTGTCTTTTAATTTCTTGGCTGCAGTCCCCATCTGCGGTGATCTTGGAGCCCAGGAAAATAAAATCGTTCACTACCTCCATTTCTTCCCCATCTATTTGCCAGGAAGTGAGAGGACCGGATGCCATGATCTTAGTTTTCTTAATGTTGGGTTTCAAGCCAACTTTTGCGCTCTCCTTCACCCGTATCAAGAGGCTCTTTAGTTCCTCTTCACTTTCTGCCATGAGAATGGTATCATCTGCATATCTGAGGTTGTTGATATTTCTCAATCTAAATTCCAGCTTGTGATTCATCTAGCCCCACCTTTTTCATGATTACTCTGCATATAAAGGAAATAAGCACGGTGACAGTATACAGCCTTGCCAAACTCCTTTCTCAATTTTGAACCAAGAGCTGCGTATTTCTGCTACAGTGAGAGACATTTTTATGGAAATGTTTCAGTATCCATTGAAAACTTTTCAAGTTCATTATGAATTAAAGGGTGTTTTATTAAGTTTTGCTTAATATAACTTATTGCAATTTTCATCTGTTCATCATGATAGACTTTGCTGTAGGTAAGAACAGACTGTCTTTTCTTTGGTTCACGGATGAGTTTCAAATACCCTCTGAATATTAAGATCTGTACAGTCTGACCCACTGAGCCAGATGAAGTTCATGAGCGCTGTACATTGGCCGGTAGTTTTTGGGGTTTTTTTAAACCCTGCAATCCCACAGGCCACAATACTATTTTATTTTATTTTGTCTTATTGCTAAACCATCCCAAGACTACAGTAAGGGACAGTATTAAAAAGTTTTAAATAAATAAATAGATAAATAAAAACTTTATTGGTAGAATGTATTTGACTTGTTGAGTTACTGCTACCTTGAACAGTAACCCAAATGGCTACACCGCTGGTTCTTCAAAGTTGGCCTTCTGTTTAGCCTTTTCTGCAAAAAGAATGTTTTGATTTGATCTGTGTCCTTGGAATGTACCACCCAAGGTAATGTGCACAGAGCTTAGGGAAAGAGCACAGAGAATTACTTCACACAATCTTTTTGAGAGGGGCATGTTTTCACCTTAGATAACACTTTGAACTTTTGATAATTTAATTAACTATAACATTAAAGGATAGCACTTCTAACAGTGCAATCCTACACCCACTAGACAGAGTTTAGATAGCCTTTTCAGAGCTGTACTTCCAACCTCAGAAACTTGCTCCAAGGTCATTTCCAGCAGTGTGCACTTGGAGTGCCTTCCCCCCATTCTTGCAATTGGTGTGGAAAGAACTGCAGCTCTAAGGTTGCAATAGCAACCTCAACGATGGGCTTTTGGAGTCTGGGAAGGAGAACAGACATCCTCGACCAGCATATGAGGTATTCTGGTAGCTCCTTGCACTCCTGGCTGCTTGCTCCAAGACAGAACACTTTTAGGGCTGAAATTGGCTGAAGAATCTGCATGGTGAGAGAAGCATGGAGGTGATCTTCCTCTTCGTGTGCCTTTTACTATGCAGTGGATGCCAATAATCATCTCAATCCAGAGGATTACAGGCAGCCTTACTGGATTGCACCCTAAGTCACACAGCCCAAATTGTTTTCTAAACTGCAACCCAAGTACTCTGCCACTAAATTATTTGTTAGAGTAAATATTGACTTGACTATGGTTCATATTCACACTTAATGATATGTTAGGAGGTCCGGCAGAAAATGTCAGAAATCTTTGTGTCATGTACCTGTTAAGTGACATTTACACTTGCAGTTGGGAAAATGTCCTTTCCAAGTAAATAAAGGGAAATGAAGGAGACAAATACTTAAGGCACTAAGTTACATTCATATGTTTTATATTAAGGGCCAGAATTTTTGAGTCTATACAAAATTTAGGGTTTCACCAGAATTGTTGACAGTTATGTGTATGGTTAACCTTAATCCTTATGTTGTATCTTTTCCTTGTAGACATGCTCCGCTTGATACCAGTCAACATCCAAGACAGCCAGGCAAGCCTCCAGATCCTGTGCCACATACTCTAAGCAAAAGCAGAACAGTAGATGCATTGAAAGCAGAGCAACAGGTGCCTGGAAGGAGCCCGTCTTCCACAAGTCTGAGACAGTCTAAATCACGAACTGATTTTAAAGAAGATCAGAAGCCAAGTATGATGCCCAGCTTCCTCTCAGATGTCAACCCATTTGGTGCAGTCACTTCGGTTGTAAACAAATTCAATCCTTTTGATTTGATATCTGACTCAGATTCAGCCCAGGAAGAAGCTGCCAAGAGACAGAAACCTATTCAGAAAGAACAGGATAAAGCTGAACAGCAGAAAGGACCCACCAAGCAACCAGCACAACAACAATCTCCAAGGCCAACAGGTCCACAACAAGGGACTGGCAAACCAACCTCACAGAAAACAGGACCTTCCAAACAGGTGCAACAGTCACAGCAGCAACAGCAACCTGGCATACCTAAGCAGGCTCAGAAACCAGGGCCTGGCCAACCAATAGTCCCACAGTCAGAAGAAGCAAGACAACAGCAAGGGCCACCAAAAAGTCAGTCCCAACGACCAGAGTCTACAAAATCTACCCAACAGCAGAGTCCTGCAAAACCTTCACCACCACAACCAGGAGCAGCAAAAGCAACATCATCACATCAACCTGATGCTGCTAAAACATCCTCGCAGGCACCTGTTCCTACAAAACCGGCAGGCCAACAAGGGATGCCACCTGGCAAGCAGCCATCTCAGCAGGCAGGAGGGCTCACAAAGGCTGTTCCCCCACCAGGAGGGACCAGCACACAACCATCACAGCAGCCAGGAGGTCCAGCAAAGCCAGCTCCTCAACCAGGAGGTCCCATAAAGCAAACATCACAGCAGTTTGGAGGGCTGGCCAAGCCATCGGTTCAACAGGCTGGGCCCGCAAAGCAATCACAGCCACAGGCAGGACCTACAAAGATAACTGACCAACAGCCTGGGCCTCTCCAGCAACAACAAGCAGCTTCTTCTCTGCCCGAAGGCTCAGCCCCCAAGAAAACTTTTTGTCCTCTTTGCACTACCACAGAACTGCTGTTGCACGCTCCTGAAAAGGCCAATTACAATACATGCACTCAGTGTAAAACTGTAGTTTGCAGTTTGTGTGGGTTCAATCCTAATCCTCATATAACAGAGGTAAGTAAAATCTAAAACTGTACATTATCAGCCCTTAAATTAACATCCCTCCAAGTTAAATTCCTTTTAAAGAAGCCGAGCTTGAATGAGTTGAGGAGTTTACCAGTCTATATATTATAGAGATGTTGGTTTGTTCATCTAGATCAGGGAGCTTCTAAAATGTCTTGAAAGCTTCTTAGGGATTCTTCTACAAACAGCCTTGACACAGTGCAGTGGTACTGAAATGAATGGAATGTACTTCCTTGACCACATTGTAGAATTCTCTGCAGGGTTAAGATGCTTAAGGAGCATACGTTAGCAGTCATACCCATGTGGAAAGGTTTTCCAGTGAGTGTGAAATCTGAAAACCAGTCTAGTTTGTATGCATATTATTATGCATTTACAAAGAAATCAAGCACATTGAAAATCCATATTTTGAAATAAAATTAGGACTGAGCTGAAGTTCTCAGTAGAGAATATTTGGCTGATTAAGCAAAGAGTTAATTTTTTTTCCTCATTTTATCATCTGAAAATTGGGCTGCATTAATAGAAGTATCACTTCCAAAGTAATAGTTTACATCTGCTCAGTGCTGGTTAGGCCTCATCTTAAGTATTCTGTCCAGCTCTGGGCACCAGAGATTAGAATCATGCAGATAAACTGGAAAAGATGCAGAGAAGTTAAAAAGAAAAAAAGATCAATTGAACCAAAGCCCTCTGAGGAAGGAACTGGCATGTTTAACCTTTAGAAGAAAAGTCTGAAGGGAGATATGATAGCATTCTTCAAGCACTTGAAAGATTGTCACAGAGGGGAGGTCTGGGATCTCCTCTCAGTCATCCCAGAATGCAGGCTATTGAACATTAGGATCATGTTATGGGAAGCCAGGTTCCAACTGAACATCAAGAAAACCTTCCTGACCATTACAGGAATATGACAATGGAGCCAGTTACCTCAAGAGTTACTTCCCATGTTGGAAGCATTCAAAATGCATTTATTAGGGATGCTGTGGTTGGACCCAGTGTCCCTATAGGCCTCTTCCAACTCCACTTTTTTTTGTTTCTGTGGTTATACTGTTAACTAGTTAGTAGCAACAGTGATACTACTTCTGGTATTGCTTTTTATAACTGGCATTTTTTTAACCCTGAAGGTTCCTTATCATAACAGTGCATCAGAAAGTAGCATTGTGGTGAGGAGATATATGGGTTGAAAAAAAAATCATCCAACTGCCATTGCTGGATTTCACCTGGCTTTGCTTCTCACAGAAAATCTCTCAACTTCGTCAAGTGGGTGTCACAGACCAAGTCTGCACTCTCATCCTCAAAGAATGCCAACCCATTGTCCTCCAGAGTTAATGGGAAAGCCTTGGGCAAAGAAAAGAATATTGAGGCTTCCCTCTCCCCAGCATCCAGTGTAGCCCTCTAGGTTGACACCCATGTCCAGAGGTGTCTACATTATCATTCTCTCACTCTGAGCACTTGGAATGTAAGGACACCACCATTTCTCATGATTACAGCCTGAGATTTCTAAAATGGACCAGGCTTCTTCAAGAGACAAAGTCTCCGGCTGTATGGAGGTGCAGCCAGCCAGACAGCCAATATGTAGCCACATTTCTTATTTAGTTTTGCTCAGCTGCTCTTTGAAACAAGACAAGCTGTCTTGCTCCCATCCCCAGCATGACTTGGAGCTTTCCATGGTGCTATCCTTTTCCTATTCCTGAAACCAGACATTGCTGAAACAACCCAATAGTTTGGCAAAGCCCTGCAGCAGAATTGAGGAGCAGATGTATTTTGTATCTCATTGAATGCAATTTATTTTTCGCACTGATATAAATGAATACACCTCGTTTGTGTAGCACCCTCTCAAGGAATCTTTATCTTAGAACTAGTAAGGTGGACAGTATATTTATGAACTAATTTGGGGTTTTGGAGAAGAAATAGAAATTAATGACACAGATAATAAAATAACAAATAATTGATGCTCTGTTTTAAAATAGGACCTGTTCTCTCTCCCTGTGCAAAAGGCAATTTATTGCAGACCAAAATCCTCAAATGGCTGAATATTCTTGTGGTAGGAGGAGAATGCATGTTTTGCCCCATGAGACGTGATGCAAATTTGTGGGACATTGGCTCATCCATGTTGGAACTAGACTCCAGTGGCTTTGTTGGTTTCTGAGTTCTTTGTTGCAATTTTCTGTTTCATGATTCTAAATACAGCACACCACACATTGTGCAATGTGCTTAACCTTATAAAACCATCATTTTTATTTGTTCTTTACACAGAAAAACAGTATTTAACATTGTGTTCCATACTTGGTTATATATTTGTTTTAAGAGATTCTCAGAATAGGTATTGCTTTAGAATGTGGGTATGAAATTTAGACAGCACTTTAAACTAGGCCATTTTTAATATAATTTTATTATTGATTTTGTTTTTTTACAGCTTTTTAAGAAAAAACACCTGGCTTTTAAAATAAAAGTATTGATCTTTCTGTTACCCTCCCCTCTAATGTTCCATTGTATTAGGCATCATCCTTTTCTGCTCCACAGGTTTATATGGAGCAATTATACAAAAATCAGAAATTGAGACATTTATTGTTGCAACTTCTGCAGATATCTAACAGTACAATACCTTAATGTTGGCTGAGAAAGAGGATTCACTGGGGAGGTTGACCTGTCACTCTGAAGAAAAAAATACTGTGGATTGGTCATTTACTTGATAATTCAAGAGATTTTGGGGCATTCTATGGCTTTCCATGGCCCGTTTTGTCCCTTAGTCCTCCCACTGGCTCTCGGTATCTACCCTATGTGTCTTTCCAGCAGAATTCCCCATTTCCTTGGTCCTTACATCAGCACTGTATCTGCAATTGGTCCAGTGGGATTGCTGGCTACCAAGGGCAACTAAAAGGAATTAAAGAACATGGTAACACAGTCACAAGCTGTGCTTTTTCCAAAGCAGTGAGTTGCAAAAGCGACAGGAATGCAAGTCTGTCTTCTTGCAGTTTCGCTCAGCATAGTGGTATCTTCTTATTTTCAATGTGCTTGGCAATTTTATCCTCTACTTCTGTGCTTGCCAAATACTATTTTAAGGCTCCTTCATGTACTACCAATTATACCTACCCAAAAGCTCCTTCAGCTACACATGCCAGCCACTTTTGGCTCCCCTCTCATTCTTTTTGTCCTTACTACACTACATTGGGCTACTGTCACCCATCAGATATGTATATAAGACTAGTAAAGGTGTGTACATATTTCAGGAGACAAATAGGGAGAGAGACATGCAAATTTCAAGGCAGACTAGTAATGTCTTTGTAAATAAACAAAATAATTCATGGCAGAGCAGGAAAACAGAAGCAAAAGCTACACAAATTTCAAAACCATGGACTTCAGAAGTGGCATTTGTACAAGACTGATTTTTTTAAAGGTTATGCATGCATTTGGGATATTCTCCACTGTCCTTTCTTCTTGATTTTTGGGAGTAGGACATGGAGGATACCTGGAAGGGGAGATGGAGTATGGCAGTAGCACTAGTGAGATCATGGCAACCAACAAGGATTTGGGCCACTCTGGCAGGGCAGCTCTTCAGCCATTCCCAACAACCCACAAGAAGTTTATCCTTCCTGTCCAACAAGCCCATGGCTTCTCAGGGTGGCTTGGGAATGAAAAAACACCAACCTCTTGAAACTGACATTATGACAACCCTCCATGGGTAACCATGCATGACGGGTTTTCTTGTCATGGGTGATATGAACCAGGTCCCAGGCAAATGAATCTAGAAGAAAATCTAAATGGATTTTCATTTCCACTTAGTCTCAACTGTTAAGCATTTAGAAGTTGTGAAAGGAAACAATGATTGTATTAGCCATTGTGTTTATTTTTTCTTTCATACTGTGAGGTTTCATTCTGACACATTTCAATATATTTCATTTTGGAGTTTGGATGGAAAAACATTCTCTTTCTTTTAATCTTCCTGATTCTAAGCAGGCATATTATTTCTCTGGGGAATGTATCATATTAATATCGGAAGTAGCAGTACTTGATTACATACACATGTAAGAAGCAATCTGGATTTCAGATGACTACGCATGTAGTTAATACATGTATGTGCTCTCAAGGAGATCAGATACTTTCAGACAGAGGTCCCTGTTTTTCCCTCTCCTTGGTCACATGCACCAAGTCCTATGCAGACGTGCAGCACTGCTTTTCTTGTCTCCATATTGAAACTTTTGAGGTTCGGTTCATATTCCTTCAATATTATTATTCCTCTGGCTTGGGATGAGTGTGTATAAGCATTACCATAATGGCTTCCATTGAGATGGTGGAGTGTTATGATGGATCCAGCATTTGTTCTTAGCCAAGATGTGACGACTCTGACAGTTTGGCAAGTTTGCCTCTCTTGTACTGGACAAGCAGGACAAGAGGGTCTTCTGGAATTAAACTGATTGGATTTCAGTAAAGAACCAGAAATATTCATGCTCTTCCATCTGTAGGCATATGCAAAATTTAGTGTGTGCGTGGAAGTACACACAAGGATGAGTAGAATAGCACCTGTTGGCTCTACCCAGTGCTACTTGTAAGTTCTGTTAATTCCAGGTCCTTCTTGTTCAGGGTCCTGTGTGTGTACATTTCTCTACAGGTTTGCATGCATCCTCTGTTGCGTGATACAGATAGGCCTATGTATGCCTGGTGATTGGAAGCAGCATGGGTCTATGGTGAGCAAGCAAGATGCTGCCCCCATCCCACAACCCTGAATGCATCTCTGCTTGCAGAGTTTCTGTCCAGGCATTGGTGGGCCTTTACTGTGTCATGTCTTGGTATTTTCTGAATATCTGAGATCCCAGTGGATAAACCAACATATGGTTTATCTTCTGCTACATACACATTTTGGATTTTTGTGGTAGTTTATGGGAATTAAATAGGTTCCTTAGAAAAAGGCTTAGATGGTGCAGAAGTCTAATAATGCAGCCTGTGTTCTGGTAGCAAAATGTTGTGGAAGATATTTCTACTTAGTTTTCCTTGGTAAGCTT